TCGAACCCACGAACTGTGAGATCATGACCTGAGCTGAAGTTGGACGCTTAACCGACTGAGCCACCCAGGCGCCCTCTGCTTTTTAAATTTTTTTTTAAATATTTATTTTTTAGAGAGAGACAGTACGAACAGAGGAGAGGAGAGAGAGAGGGAGACATAGAATCTGAAGCAGCTCCAGGCTCTGAGCTGTCAGCACAGAGCCAGATGCAGGGCCCCAACTCACAAACCCAACCATGAGATCATGATCTGAGCTGAAGTTGGAAGCTTAACTGACTGAGCCACCCAGGTGCCCCTCTAACTGATGGACTCTTATAGGACATTCAAAAATTAGGGCACTGCTGAAGAAAAGATATGAGAATAATTTGTCCAAGGCAAAGAGTTATGGCTTGAAGAAAGAATAAACACACATAGCTATATGACCTGTTAACATGACAGATGCAGAAACCATGCACTTCTGATCTGGTTACCTGCTGTTATTTAGTTATTGGAGATGGGTAAATAGTGAAATGTTATACAAATAGCAGAAAAAAATAGCTTTGTATTGAATTTGATGATGGAAATTACATCCTGGCAAGAGATGTATTAATTAAAAACTTATGGTAGCTTATTTCTTGAATATGTCAAGAGATAGAAAAGTGAAAGATATGCAGTGAAGATCCCATTAGGATTGTTGTTTTACTATGTGGGTAAACAAGTCTAAATTCACTATAATTAGCAAATTTCAAAGTGAGATAATCTTTGCTAGTGGAAAAGGTAGAAGATCTTTATGGGAAAGAATACTAGAAAATGTGTTGGAGTTAAAGAGTTTGGTGAAGCCAGGACCCTGCCTTTTAGGAGATGAAGAGCCAGGGTCAGGAGGTTATTTCAACAGAAAGCGCTATGGTAGGGCAAGCACAGGTACATCAATGTCAGGGGGTCAGGGAACACTTCCTGGAGGAAGTGACATCTAAGCTGAGACCCGTGTCATAAACAGGAAGTCAGGGAAAGAAGGGGTGCAGGCTCCTGGCCTGGGGTGTGTCAGGCTATGGTGGGACCCTGGAAGAGGGGGAGGAAGGGTTTGGGGTGGGGTGGAAGAACGTTCACACTTGGGCTGGGGGGCCAAATAGGGATGAGATCTTAAGAGTGGAAATCTTGTGGGGCATCTGAGTGGCCCAGTTGGTTGAGCATCTGACTTCAGCTCAGGTCATGATATCATGGTTCGTGAGTTCAAGCCCTGCGTCGGGCTCTGTGATGACAATGCAGAGCCCACTTCAGCTCCTCTGTTCTCCTGTCTCTGCCCCTCCTCCACTGTGCTCAAAAATAAAATAAAAACATAAAAAAAAAAGAATGGGAATCCCACGCCCAGGCAATTACCAGCATTTCCCACATTCCCTACACCCAAGACACAGTGGAAGACATTGAATCAATTGTGCGGTCATGGGGAAATCAAATTGGGACACATGAGGGTGATGAATTCTTAAAAGAGAGCAAAGAAATGATTTTTCCTATTCATTGCTTCAAGACACAGTCCGATTGGATGGTCTAACAGAGGTAACAGAAGTAGCAGTCTGTTATTTGCCCCACGTGATTCCAAATATGGGGTGTTGGGATGAACAAAATAAAATCATTGACCTCATGACTTGTGAGAGTAAACAGAAAATAAATTTAAAAAGTATCATTCGATTTGGACCCACACACTTTGAGGGCAGTGCCTGACCTCAGTGGGCATTCTGGTGCTCCAGACCATCTACTTTTGATCTGGAATGAGATACCACACAGTGCAGCATGGAGCCTGCTTTTCCTGAATCACCAGCATCTGATTCTTATAAATAGTGGGAGAATCAGTTCTGGGTATTTTTGACAAGGCTGCTGCTTATTAAGCTGAATCTAGAAAGATGGGGCAAAATGAGTGGGGATATGACAATATTCAACATAAGAGGGGACAGCATAAAAAAAGTAGTACAACTAAAGAGCTTCTGTACAGCAAAGAAAGCCATCAACCAAATGAAAAAGCAACTTATTGAATGGGAGAAAATACTTGTGAGTCATATATGCAATAAGAGGCTAAGATCCAAAATATATAAAGAATCCATACAAACTCAATATCAAAAAACACTCAAACAATCCGATTTAAAAAATGGGCAGGAGATCTAAATAGACACTTCCCCCAAAACATAAGGATGGCCAATAGGTACATGATAAGGTGCTTAGTATCATTAATCATCAGGGAAATGCAAATCAAAACCACAGTGAGATACCACTTCACACCTGTTAGAATAGTTATAATGGAAAAGACAGGAAATACAAGTGTTGGTAAGGATTTGGAGAAAAAGGAACCCTGGTACATTGTTTGGTGGGAATGTAAATTGGTGCAGCCATTATGGAATTAAAAGAAAATTAAAAATAGAACTACCACACGATCCAGCAATCTTACTTCTGAGAATTTATCCAAGGAAAGTGAAAACACTAGTTCAAAAAGGTATTTGAGCCTCCCGTAGGCATTGCAACATTATTTTTAATTGAGACATGGAAACAACTTAGGCGTCCTTCAATGGATGAATGGATAAAGAAAATGTATTATATAGACATACAATGGAATATTATTCAGCCACAAAAAAGAATGAAATCTTGTCATCTGTGACAACATGGATGGACTTTGAGAAGATTTGATAAGTGAAATAAATCAAACAGAAAAAGGCAAATATTGTACGATCTCACTTACGTGTGGAATCTAAACCAACCAACAAAACAAACAAAAACCAAATAAGCTCACAGAGACAGAGAGCAGATTGGTGGTTGCAAGAGGTGTGGGGAAGAGAAATGGGTGATTTTTTTTCAGTTTAAATAAACTGAACAAAACTTTTATAAAAGGAGTAAAGCAGGAGTTAAAGGCTATAGGATAAAAAATTAACCTATGGCCAGATGTAGGGGGCAGAGCAAAATTTTGTACAGCTTAAAATCTTGTCAAATTTGGGGGCCTTCTTTAAGAGAAAAATAACAATTAGACAATTAGGTACAAAAATCAATATTCAGGAGCACCTGGGTGGCTCGGTTGGTTAAGCATCTTGACAGTTCAGGTCATGATCTCACAGTCTGTGAGTTCAAGCCCCGCATTGGGCTCTGTGCTGACAGCACGGAGCCTGGAGACTGCTTCAGATTCTGTTTCCCTCTCTCTCTACTCCTACCCCACTCAGGGTCTGTCTGTCTGTCTGTCTCTCTCTCCCTGAAAATTAAATCAACATAAATAAATATTCATTTAAAATGAGAAATGCATCACAACAAGCTATAAAACTTAAAAGGCCAACAAATACCATAATCTTCAAAAAAGTCCACAAGAAAACATTTTGATAAACTGCCTGACACACCTCCCCATAATACCATTTTTTCATAATTACGTTTTTTAGCTGCATATCCTTTTCCTCCAATTTTACCGAGGTATATCTGACAATTAAAAAGTGTGTATATTTAAGGTATACAATTTGATAACTTGATACATATAATTGCCAATCAAGGCAATTAACATTATCACCTCACATAGTTACCTTGGTGTGTGTGTGTGTGTGTGTGTGTGTGTGTGTGTGTGGTGAGAAATTTAAGATCTGCCCCCTTGCAAATTTCAAGTATTCAATACAGTGTTGTTAACTATAGTCACATTGTTGTACATTAGATCTCCAGGACTTATTTATCTTGTGTAATTGAAGCTTGGTGCCCCTTGAACAGAATCTCCCCATATCCCCATAGCTGCATACTCTTTATCATGATGAGCACTGAAATTTATAGAATTATTGAATCACTATATTGTACACCTGAAACTAACATTACACTGGATGCTAACTAACTGGAATTTAAATAAAAACTTGGAAGAAAACAAAAGAGAAAAAAAGAACTTAGGCTATGGAGCTAGACTATTTGGGTTTGCTTCTTGGCACTGCCACTTTACAGCTTGTGGAACCTGGGCATTTAAAAAATATCTCTGTGCCTGAGATCTTCTCATCTGTAAAATGGGTATAAATAATGTTAAGATTAAAGAAATTAGTTCAGGCAGAGTACTTACAACGGTGTAGGCACATAAAGGCTCAATATTTATTAGCTGCTGCTGTTATTATTGTTGTGGCTGTTGTAGGGCCATATTCATGTGAATAATATGTGACGCTTCTTAAACCACCTTTGCGTCCTGACTAGAATCAGGCTTCCCTGTTTTCTGAATGGACTGTTGACTAAATGTAGGAGGAAGGCAGAGAGGAAGAAGTTAGAGATAAATGGGATTCCCCCCCCCGCCCCCTTAATGTCGCCAAACAACATTTAAGCAAAAGAAGAAATTGAGTCTATAAATTCATTGGCTGGGTCGTGGCATGCCAAGCGAGCAGTAACACTGGGCCTGACATCATTTTGTTCCCAAATGATATGAGCATAACTTGTTTTTGAAGGAAAAAAAAACACGATGGACTTTAAAAAGTTGCCTTTTAATTCACTCTCCTACAGATGTGTCTCCGAGACACTTCATTTCCCCCTCTGGTGAAGCACTGTGACCTGCAAGAGGCCCCACAGCACAGGCTGCGGCGGGAAGGGGAGGTGGGGAACGAGGGGAACGGCGGGGGGGGGGGGGGGGGGGGGGTGCGCAGGCTTCCCTGCCCGCGTGGGCGCAGTAAGGCGGAACCGCTTCGGTCCCTCGGCCGGGGGTGTCAGTCTCGGCCGCCGGGGTGGGGGTGGGGGTGGGGGTGTGCTGCCCTCGGCTACCCCTCTCCTCCAAACAACGCGCCGCGGTACTGGCGTTCAGCGGTCACCCCCAGAGCCGGCGTCGGCCCCCGCCCCGCCCTCCCTGCGGCGAGCGTTCAGCCCCGAGCCGGCGTCGGCGCTCCTCTCCCGGCCGGCGTAGCACCGCCTCTGGCCCGGGTGCAGGGGCCCAGCGCGCAGGCGGGGGGCGCTGTGGCCTCGGCGCGGGGACAGAGCGGCCGAGCCGGACCCGCCTCTTTCCCCTCCCCTCCCGCCCCCCACGCGTCGTGTCGCCGGGAAGCCGGGAGGAGACAGAGCGCTCGGGCTCCACGGCGCTCGGCCCGCAGTCCTCTGGCCGCGCGGAGCAGAGCCAGGTGGCGCCGCCCGAGCGCAGAGCCGCGACCCACCCCGGCCGCCTTTGTCTGGGAGCGTGTGGCCTGGAGCCGCCGCTCTCGGGGGCCGGGCACGCGCCCACCGCAGTCGGTGACAGCTCGCCCCTGTCGGAGGGCGCCGGGACCGAGGGGCGGTCGGGCCGGGCCCTGCTCGCCCGCGCCTGCACGCCCGAGCGCGTGCACCGATGCCCCCGCAGCAGGGGGACCCCGCATTCCCGGGCCGCTGTGAGGCGCCGCCCGTTCCGCCGCGCCGGGAGCGCGGGGCGCGCGGAGGGCGCGGGCCCGGGGCGCCGGGGGGCCGGGGGCGCGCGGGCGGTGCCGAGGGGCGCGGCGTCAAGTGCGTGCTCGTCGGCGACGGCGCCGTGGGCAAGACCAGCCTGGTGGTGAGCTACACCACCAACGGCTACCCCACCGAGTACATCCCCACCGCCTTCGACAACTTCTCGGGTGAGCGGGGGGCGGGGGCGCGTGGCCGCAGTGTGCGATGCCGACGGCCCCGGTGCGGAGGGGAGGGAGGGCGGCGCGAGGGTCGAGGGGTCCCCCGAGGGGGCTCCGGGGCCGCGCGGGCTCCAGCTGGGAAGCCGACCAGGCGCGGACCGCGTGGCGCTTCCCGAGCCTCGGGAGGGACCGCGGGGGCTACCGGGAACCCTAAACCCGTAGCCCGGCGGAGGGGGCGGGGTACGGGGGACAGTGCCGACGCAAAAAGAAATGGTCTGGCAATTTAGTAACAGACGATCGAGTATCAAACAGGTCGAGTTCAGGTTGCCTGGTCGGTTTGCTGCGTAGGAAAGTTGCGTCAGGTCGACGTTGCTGGCGCCGCTGCCGAGTTCCAGGGGGAAGGTGACGCGCAGGTGCCATACCTGTGGCCCTGGGAGTCGGCCCTTTGCTTTTGGCGTCTCCCCTGACGAGGGGCGTCTCCACTTTAAAGAGCCACAGAGACGGCAAAAATACTTGCTTCTTAGGTTCGGATTAAACCTGGAGACTAAACAGGATTTCTTCCGAGTCCCTCTTCCCTGTCCCAACCGCGCCTACTGCCATCTCCCTCATTGGTTCGGTTTCTGATTCTTAGTATCTTTTCAGGATCTCTAAGCTATTTACAGCCTTTATGTATGGTATGCTGTCTTTTGGTTTGGTGGAAACCAAGATAAAGGGGTTTTCAGGGATTTGAAACTCCCAAAAAAGTTAAAATGCACAGAGACTAGTGTGAAACACTCTTCTCTTGCTCTTCACAGAAAAAAAGAAATGTTTCTTGACCTCTTAGTCCCAGTGGCACGGGCTTGGGTTCCCTAGATAAAACTGGGTTACAGCTAATGACTTTCCCACTTAAACAGCTTTGGTGTTTCCCCCTTCCCTCCTCCCAGCTGACTGGTGTAAACATTAAAAGAACTTAGAAAGTTGTAGGAGACAAACTTGAGCGCTTAATTCCAACAGAAACCTCCAGCTGTGCCCTGATGCAGGGCCCCCCCCCCCCCCCGAACTCCACCCCAGTGGAAAGGTGGGCAGGCTTTCTTTTCTTTTTCAATCCTCTCTTGAAGCTGACATGGTGAGATGAGCAGTGCCCTTTTCTATAAACAGGACAATGCAGGCAGCCTGTGTTTGCTCCTGTTCTCAAAACAAACTACAATTTTATGATAAACCTTGAAGTCTTGGAACGTGTCCGAAGGGAAAACAGAATATTTGTGAGGTTTTCCACTGAATTAAAAGGTTGGTTCCCATTGACCCCCTAGTGTTACTTGTAGGTTTTTTTTTTGAAATGAGTGTGATGGGAAAATAAACCTTCCGGGGCTGGGAGAGGAGTGCAGGCCCTTCTGGGGTGCCATCCACTGGCTCAGGGATTTGCAGCGTGTTGCCTGCCAGCCCAGGAGCATTGTAAACGGAAGTGTCTTCTTGGGGCCTCCTTGTTTCAGACAGGTCTTTAATTCATTAGGGGACCCAGAATAGCTGAAGGGTTTGGAGGGAGAATGGTAGTTGCAGCTAAAACGATTATTTTCCTGAAAGGGGTTAAAAGACACCCCCTTCCCCCCACTGATCATTGTTTTCATCTTGTTTTCAAGCTGTGGTTTCTGTGGACGGGCGGCCTGTGAGACTCCAGCTCTGTGACACTGCCGGACAGGTTAGTGTACCGCTGCTCAGTGCTGGGAAGGGAAAAAGATGGGGTTTCCTGAGCCATGGTGTAACTCTCTAGGGCCACCCTCATCCCTTGAAGCCTATACAGTGGTTGAAACTGTCCTAAGCTGGAGGAATGAATGAACTTGAACTTTCTAAATCATGGGAAGGTTAGGCACTTGGCTTGGTCACTTGGATTAGTAATGGGGATTGGGGTGTTCCTCGACGGGCTCCAGGGACTCATTATCAGCCCCTTCCCTCTCGGCATGGTACTTGTCACCGAGGTCTCCTTGTTCCCTGTGAGAACCCAGGGTGCTGTCTCTTGAGTCTGTCAAAGTGACAGTTAACAAACATGTAGTCTTTCCTGCGCTTGTTAGAGCAAACGCCGAGGAGCACTTTGTAGGCACGTAAAAGTGCCCACTTCACTTTCCGAGGCATCGTCACATGACCTTCTGTGTTTAAGAGGGTGGCTTTTCAGTATTCTCTAGTGCCTCGTCCCAGCCAGGACTTCCAAACTGCTTACCTAGCCTGGAACAGCAAGTTCAAACCTCAAGGTGACACAGGACTGAACAGCTTTGGTCTCCTGGCTCAACGCTGGTTTGGTGGTGGCCACAGTGGCAGGAGTTTTGGCCTGGACTCTCCGGTTCTCTCCTCATCCTTCTTCAGCTGCAGCAAACAGAACCGACTACGATGTGTAGCTTATTGTCAATGGAAAAGAGAACTCAAAGAACACCGCTGTTCCCAGCATTACATCTTTCTGGATGCCCTCCTGGTATTTATAGCTAAAGCTGTATTGCTTTGTATAAAGTAAGAATATTTTTCCTACTATGTGTCTGATTTTCTGACCTTTCAAATGAGGTTAGAAGAGCACATCGATAAATATAGGCATCCCTGCTAAAGCAAGAAGGAGCAGCTTAATAGTTCGAGATGGCACAGTTATTGGGGACCCCTTGGAGAGGGCTAACAGTTCAGTACACATCCCTGCCCACTAAGGGGGGCTCTCCTGCTAGGTGTTGGTTCTTATCACAGACACAGCTTCCCAAGTTGGGGTTCTATGCCTACTGCCTGCCTGGTGCCTGGCACATAATAGGGTTGAGTCGTGGTTTCTAATGGATACATATAATGGAGAAGGTCTTGGGGAAATGCAAACTTAAGTCTTGGGCCCACCCCTCAGAAGGCTTACAGTCTGTAGGGAAGACAAACCAGCTAGGAGAACTCATGAAAGAAACCAGTGACGTTCCATAAGGAGGAAGGCTACGTTGGCATGGGGTACAGGTCAGGTGGGTCTGGGGAGAAAACCACTGAGCTGTTCTGAAAGGGGCAGAGGACTATCTATCATTGGAACAACTATGTGGGAATGATCCTGAATTATTGAGGTAGAGTTTGAAGTTTCCTTGGTATGGTCTGTTTAAAACTTGGGGAAGCACGAGAATAGTGTTGGAGATATTTTCATGAAGACACTTTATAATTGTGAAAGACATTTTATAATTGGAAATAAAAGGGTTTTGGTGCAAGTTGGTAAGTTTTAGTTTATTTGGATTTTTTTTTTTTTTGGTCTCCCAGTGATGTTTTCATTGAGATTGAGTGTATTTCTTAACTGACGTATTGGTTAGTAACGTATACCTTACTTATTATGTAATGGAGGAGGTTACCATCTAAAGATGTGTAGAAAACTAACCTCAAAAACTATTTATGAAAACTACAGCTGGTAAGATAAAATCATTTTCCCCCCTAACCCCCAAGTATCATTTAGGACTTATTTTGACTCATAACAAAGCCAGTCAAAGGGGTAGTTCTTTCCTACCTTTTCCTTAGTCCAGATCTGATAAACTACCTTTCAAGGGACTTGATTTGACACCTGCTGTATTTCCCTAATATTGACTCAGCCAGTGGAACTCCCCCTCCTTCAGGTAGTCCTCACAGAAGACTTATGACTTTTGCGACCTCTGTTTCCCGATCTAGGGAAACGTGAACACAGGTAGCCCTAACCTGGGGCCCAAATGTGGGTTTCAAATGGAAGCTTGGAGTGAGAAGGTGCCTCTACTTGGCTGAATAAGGAACTAGAAATTGCTTTTTGTGCCTTTGTGTTTTCTTGTTGGGGGGTTGGTGAGCATATAAGATGTAAACAGGAGTTCCTAATGCTGGACTCACAGTCTCAGGTAAGTGCAAGTAGATCCGAGACTGAGGACTTGGAGAAGCACACCTTTGGCATAAGAGAAAGGACTGTCACTGAAGTAGGAGTGGTTCACGGTGGCATTGCCAGCAGGAGCTGAAAGTTCTTCAGCCTTTTGACCCATGAGGCACTTGGAAAAATCTCTGTGCTAAAGAAAAAAAAATCAGGTTGGAGCTTGCCCAGCACTACTATTCAGCTGCCTGTCCGCCCCGCCCTGGCCCGCCCCTGACTGAATTCCGTATGCCTTCCTCAGACCTGGCAGGTGCATGCCGGTTGCTGGGCCTCAGCGCACATTTCCTTGAGTGTGCATTGCACTTGGCCTTGTCACCCATATTATTTTGCGTTTATTCCAGCAAATATCTAAGGTTTCTGGTCAGGCAGTGAAGAGGAGAGTTGAATTTCGGTTTGGCTCCCTGAACCCCTTAGCCAGAGTCTCCGAGAGGTGTGGGGACCCTGATTTCCAAAGCCTGTCATGGGACCCAGCCCCTATGCTTGCCTTTCTTTTTATTGGAAATGCAAGCCCAGATTCCAGGCCACGGCCAGTGGTGACTGCTTTCTCACGGCAAGGTGCAGCTGCCCAAGGGAGCTGATTTACCCAGGGCTCCTTTCTTTGAGGCCTCCGAGAACAGAAGAAATGTTTTCTTGCACGATCTTCAGAGTGAGGCGGTAGTCTACCTGGTCAGGTTTCTGTGTTTATTCTTTCACACAGAGTTGGCACTAAGAAAGCGAAGTTCTTTTTAAAGCGTCGCTTATAGAAGACTGAACAAGTGGCAGTGATGTTCCGAAATGCCAGATTTATCCCTGAGCGTTTTAGCTGGTTGACTTCAATATTGTTAGTTGGTGGTTGCCCTACAACTGAAATACGGAGCTTCAAGTGGAGAAGGAAAAACAGATCCGGGTTTCCTTTCCAACCGCAGGAAGGCCGCAAATGCAGAATTATGTGCACGTCAGTAATGGAAACCTGGATGACAGTTCACTTTTTCCTGCCACTAGGAAGTGGTCTGTTATAGTCCACCTGCGGGGGGCTGGCACCCACAGACAGAAATTTTATTTTATCTATTTTTAATTTTTTAAAGTTGATTTATTTATTTCTTTTTAGTAATCTTTACACCCAGAGTGGAGCTCGAACTCAACAACCTCAAGATCAAGAGTCATAATGTGTTCTGAGGCAGCTAGGTGCCCCCAAAGATAGAAATTTTTAAAAAAATTTTTTCTTAATGTTTATTTACTTTTTAGAGAGAGAAAGGGAGTGTGAGCAAGGGAGAGACACAGAGAGGAGGAGACACAGAATCTGAAGCAGGCTCCAGGCTCCGAGCTGTCAGCACAGCGCCCGACACGGGGCTTGAACTCACGGACTGTAAGATCATGACCTGAGCCGAAGTTGGACACTTAACCGACTGAGCCACCCAGGCGCCCTGAGAAATTTTAAATAGGAATGAGATGATGTAAATATTTCCTATGAGAGAGTTGAGTGAAAGCTTTCAGTTAGCTGAATAGGGCACTACAGGGGACTATAAAGAAATGCTGATTTGGAGACAGACATTTCTACAGGGGCCAAGGCCAAGTCTGCCTGTTCCCGGTGAGTCCTCTGACACTGCATAGTGCCCACCGCCTAGCCTGCATCTCTGCGAAGTGGGTGATTGTGGCAGATACTCGGGAGCATGATGCGTGGTTTATATCATGAATTATAATTATTCCATCCAGTTCTCGATACTTTAAGAGTAGGGTGGGTATGCCCTTCCTCTGGTCCTTTATCTCCCCAAAGCACCCTTCACAGAGGCCCTTTGTATTTGCAGGGGGAAAAAAAGGTGAAAGGAAGTAAGAAAAGAAAGAAACGATGGAGAAAAAGAGATAAAGCAAGAAAGAGGTACAACAGGCAAGAATGAGAATGTATTAACCAGTGTTGTAAGTGATTGGCCAGTGAGAGTGGCCCATAAGAGGTCACAGCTCCCATCCTGGGTATGTCCTTGTGTCCAGTTAAAACCCTTCCCTGCACCACGTGTGCCTGGAGTGTGTGCAGCGCAGACAGGTGAGGTGGGCATCACTCATGCTGTCACAGGGACTGGCAAGTCTTGATTTTTTTTTAAAGTTTATTTATTTTGAGGGGCGCCTTTGTAGCTCAGTCAATTAAGCATCCGACTTCTGCTCGGGTCATGATCACATGGTTTGTGGGTTTAAGCCCCGTGTTGGGCTCTGTGCTGACTGCTTAGAGCCTGGAGCCTGCTTCGGATTCTGTGTCTCCCTCTGTCTCTGCCCCTTCCCCACTCACTCTCTGGCTCTCTCTCTCTCTCTCTCAAAAATATTAAAAAAACTTAAAGCTTATTTATTTCAAGAGAGACAGAGGTGTGGGAAGGGCAGAGAGAGAAGGAGAGAGAGAGAATTCTAGCAGGCTTCACTCTGTGAGCACAGAGCCCGATGGGGGGCTTGAATCCACAAAAACATGAGATCATTACCTGAGCTGAAACTGAGTCAGATTGAGCCACCCAGGCACCCTTAGGGCAGGGCTGGATTCTTAAAGAGAAGAGCTGTGTTAGACTGGGGCTCACTGGGGTCAGCTTGAAGACTTGGGGATCCGTGTAGATGCTGTCTAAATTTTGGAAGAGTGGCTAAATACCACAGTTGAAAGAGTAACTCTGGGTTACTCTGGGCTGAAGGCTAGATAAAGTAAATTTTACTTCTCAGATTCACGTAATATAAGTACTTTTCTGTGGTGAGTTACAAGTAGGTCATGAGTATTGATGAAAACACTGAAGGCTTTAGGCAGATTTCATGGGGCTCAGGTAAGCAGCACGATTCCTTTCCGTGGCAGTGGGCTTGCTGTAACTTGCCAGACCTTTTCAGGGAAAAAATCGTTAAAGGGGGTCTGTTGCTAATGAGAATTGATTAAAAAAAATAACTTTGTGGGGCACCTGGGTGGCTCAGTCGGTTGAACGTCCGACTTTGGCTCAGGTCATGATCTCGTGGTTCATAGTTCAAGCCCTGCGTCGGACTCTGTGCTGACAGCTCAGAGCCTGGAGTCTGCTTCGGATTCTGTGACTCCATCTCTCTCTGGCCCTCCCCTGCTCATGTGCTCGCTCACTCTCTCTCAAAAATAAACATGAAAAAACTTTTTAAAAATAACTTTGGGGTGCTTTGATTGGTTGCAGGACGAGTTCGACAAACTCAGGCCGCTCTGCTACACCAACACGGACATCTTTCTTCTTTGCTTCAGTGTTGTGAGCCCCTCATCCTTCCAGAACGTCAGTGAGAAATGGGTGCCAGAGATTCGATGCCACTGTCCCAAAGCCCCCATCATCCTGGTTGGAACTCAGTCAGATCTCAGAGAAGATGTCAAAGTCCTCATTGAGCTGGACAAATGCAAAGAGAAGCCAGTGCCTGAAGAGGCGGCTAAGCTGTGTGCCGAGGAAATCAAAGCCGCCTCCTACATCGAGTGTTCGGCCTTGACTCAGAAAAATCTCAAAGAGGTCTTTGACGCGGCCATCGTCGCCGGCATTCAGTACTCAGACACTCAGCAACAGCCAAAGAAGGCCAAGAGCAGGACTCCAGACAAAATGAAAAACCTCTCCAAGTCCTGGTGGAAGAAATACTGCTGTTTCGTATGATGCTGGTGAAGAAACGTGGAGAGAGTTTTTAGATGAAGTTGAGGTTAGAAGCTATATTAGCTGAAGTGACTCCTTTTCTTGTGTAGAACCTGAGGAGAGAGCGCGCGCATGCGCGTGTGTGTAACAGGTGGAGCTCTCAGTCTATGTATTCTTTCTTGCCTTTGGTGTTCTTGTTTGTTTGAGCTTAGGGATGAGCTAATTATGCAAGATATTTTTGAAGGAAGTTGAGCATTTTTCATAACTCTGGAAATTCAGAGCTCTAGGCCTTTGGATTAATTTATATCTAAGATGAAAGAGACACCCCAGGTGTGGGGGTCAAGGATGAAATTTTGCTACATTATAATGTACAGAAGAACAAAAGACAAAATGGTGTGGTGAACCCTCCCTTTGATTAAGGGCTACTTAATGCAAGTACGTTACGTACACAGGCCAGCTTAGCTTTGAAACTTCATACTTTTAGAAAACTTTTTAAGGGACTGAAATCTGGAAAAAAAAAAAAAAAAAGAGACACCACTGCCCACAGAGCCTCACTCCAGTCACTTTTGCCTGGTTGCTTAAGATCGAGAATCACCCAACAAGGAACTCCCTGCTAATTCTATGACACCGTGTACACCACAAAGGGAAAGCTGTTTATCGGGAGTGTTCATTCTTAGACCCGTTGTGTTGACGTTGTGTAAACAGGGCCACGATGCTACATGAGGTAGAGCAAGTGTTAGTCCAAACCCCTTATGTTTTCTCTAGGGAGTGATTCATGTTGAGATCAGAATGTGGTATTTGCCAGTAGTGTGCACCAAGCTGCCTAAATCCCTGGTAATGAGAACGCTAGGGAGCACCTGTCGGAATTGTGTTTAGACTTCCACACTGACGTCCCATCTGCAGGGAAGGGAGCATTCTGGAAGGGCCTGCAGCATGTTTGTAGGAGAAAAAATGAACCTTTTTCCCCTTAAGTCAGCCAAAATGTACACATACACATATATGCGTGCGCACACACACATACACACACTTACGTGTGTATGGCTATATTTGCTGCTGAGTCAGGCTTTGAAGCAGTTAATGGGAAAAAGAATGACCACGAAAACAGATGTGAAGGAAGCTCAGTTCCCCTTTTTGTTACTTTTTCGAACAGCTCTCTTTTTGATGATACCCTCTCACACAGGATTTTAAGTATATCTTGACGCGTCTTTGAGACCATCTTAAAACAAAACATAAACATCGCTTAAAACCTGTTTTAAAATGAATGTCTCTTGAAACTTGTTAAAACAACCAGTTAAACCCACGGATGCCTTTCTGGGAACTGGCAGCAGAGCCCAGGGCTGTGTGTTGGTGGGCTCGTGGGGTGGGTCCGCTGCGGCCGGCCGGGAGGGGGGGCATGGGGGGGACCTCAGCCCCCCTCTCTCAGCTGCACCCTTGCTGCAGGACGGCCATGCAACACTGTGAAACGTTTGTGTTCTTCAGGGTGGCGGTTTGTAGAGCTTAATCTTCTGGAGAAAACAAGTGTCGTATCAGGGGAATAGGTTTACTTTGAGATGGTCGTGCTTCTGAAGTGACAACAGGTAGTCTCACCCATTAAATTATAATGTCCAGTTGCAGCGGATGAAGCAGCTTTACCAAAACCAGTTCAAAAGACTAGGGAAAATCTCTGGAAAGCCAGCAGAGAGAAGAGTTTCATCTTTCTGTGGGTCCTGTGTTGTCTTTTTTCTATTTAAAAAAACTAATTTGTGGGGCGCCTGGGTGGCTCAGTGGGTTAAGTGCCCGGCTTCAGCCCAGGTCATGATCTTGCAGTTTGTGAGTTTGAGCCCCGCGTCGGGCTCCGTGCTGACAGCTCAGAGCCTGGAGCCTGCTTTGGAGTCTGGGTCTCCCTCTCTGTCTCTCTGCCCCTCCCTCGCTTGCATTCTCTCTCTCTCTCTCAAAAATATATAAACATTTTACAAAATTAAAAAAAAAATCTAATTTCTGTTTTTCTGTAGAAGAAATAAAAGATTGGGATGGGGCTGTTTTCATCTCTGTTAGCAAATCAAATGAACTGATTTCTTTGTTGAAAAATTAAAATACACGGATTGTTTACTACTTATTTTTCAGTGCATTGAAAGTGATAGCATTGTTTCCTGAAGCATTTAGTTATAACCTGAGTGAATAACATTACTTCATTTGAGACAGTGCTCCAGACAGACTTCCCGAAAAGCATTCTAAGCTTGTCCGGCTGGCTCACCTCTCTGTGAAGACAGTTTCCCAGTCTGGGTCTCACCTGCCCTGGTGTGCACACATGGGAGTGGTGGTAGAGTTACATGGGAGAATCATTTTAAACAGTAGTTTTGCATTTAAGCCAATGTCAAGGAGTGCAATGCAAATTAATTTTTAAGTTAGAACACAAAACTTAGAAGAAATGTGATGCATGTGATAGCATGGGGCAGCCCTTGGCCCTCCTCGGAGAGGCCCTCTGCCTTGGGGGGGGGGGCACTGGTTGACAGCTGTTTGTGAAAAGCGCCTGTGTGGCCCAGTTCTGAAAGCTTTACACAAGTGGTTTATTTTTAACCCAATTTGATACAACCTGTACGATTAGCGCTAAAAATCTAGAGGGTTGACATTTAAACACAACCATTTTTAATATGTTGCTGCATTTTATAGACTAGCAAAGGTACGACTGATTGTACTTCACGCTTTTCTCCATTCTTGTTTCTTTGGTGTGATTTGGGCAGAAAAGTTTTTAAAGGTTATGTACTTGAGTTAAATGTAAAGTTGATTCACTTCAAAGCTCAACCATCGTTAAACTTGCAGCTTGGTATTACAGAGGAGATTTTATGAGTTGTGCTTTAAGAAAATGCCACGTTAGCTTAACTCCTACAAGGTAGGCCAGTCATAATTTAAAAATACAATATTCTTTCAAACTGTTTGATCTCTTTTTACCATGTATGTGGAAATGAGCCTTTTGTAACGTCGTTCTCTGTGCTTGACAGACTTAAGAGAAACCACCCAGGTATTACACAAGCCAGAATGAAGGCAGAATTTTCTCCCCAGCTGTTGTAACCTGGTGCCTTACCAAGTTGTGCTTCTCTGTTTTCAAGTGTAAATGATGTCGAGCAGAACGTTGTCCTTGAAAATGCTATAAATGACGTGGTATGAAATAAATTCTGACCTATAGATACAACTGCACTTGCCTTTTCTGCCAAAGAATGTCCTTGAAAGAGAATGAAAGTTCAGCCACGTCGAAAAGCAGGCTGGTTGGGAAGCATCATGGCATGTCCCTAGAGGCATTCTGGGAATCATCCCTAACCAACATTAAATGCTTATTGAAAACGGGGTTTGAGGAATTCTGGGGTGTCACAGCCTGATTTAAGCACTCTCTGATTCTGAGTCTGTAACGGATCATGTGCTGGTGGCCCGTGTGTGTGTCCCCGACACGAATACTGTTCTTGGAGCCAGAAGTCTAGGCTCAGAGAATCACTTAGTGTGTGATGATGGGGAGGTCACTAGAGGTGAGACTCAGTTTCCTTATGTGTGAAAGTATTGCTTTTCTCCCCGGACTGTTGGAATCCTGAATGAGAACACATAGGCACATGTGGGGTAAATGTCCAAGATCTGGGCTAGCCATGAAAGGAATTAGAAGGTGCTGTGAGCCCCACCAGCTTTGCGATGAAGACCAGCAGGGCTCAGGGTTACCCATCTCCGAGGGCTGGGAGGGGCCCATGTGGTGTATGTGAACTTGTGGTCAGCCTTCTCATCATGCCACCAGAATATGGCCCTTACACCAGGGAATGTGGCCCTGAGGATGGGACCATTCTGAGAGGCCAGATGTCATCCTGCTTCCACCCTTCGGCCTCAAGGGTGAAGGGCTCCTGGTCATCTAGTGAAGGACGAGCCTCTCCACTCCATTCCCCACAGTGCCTCTGAGGCCAGGCTTTGACTTTTCATGCACCCCAGACATTGATCATGCACTGGAAGGCTGTGCAGAAAGCAACTAAAATTACTGGTCATCTGCATGTGTCCCCAAGTGCTAAAACCCAGCTTGCTCTCCCTGGCCTCCACAGGTAGCCTGAAGCCAGCTCAGAGGGACCTGGAAGTTTCTCTTCACCCAGCCCCAGTGTGCCTCCCATATCCAGGATATGTCTTCCCAGAATATGTGGACAGAGCACATGGTATGAAATAAATTCTGACCTATGGATATAACTGTACTTGGTTTTTCTACCAAAGAACGTCATTGGAATGACAGTCCCTGCTGGTCCCTTTTTGGTCAGCAAGTGCTTCCTGGAGATGTTTACAAGACCTTAAGGACATGGAAGAATGACAAGTCTCTGGGAGAAAAGTTTGATAAGAGGCACAGCAGATGCAAAGGTTCTGAGGCAGAGCCAATGCCTGGAATGTCTTGGATGCCAGTGTGGACAGAGGAGAAGTAGTGTAGGGAGAGGAGCAGGAGATGGCATAAGGGAGGGGAGGAGGTCAGGGAAAAGACGAGGTCAGCGAGGCCCATGACATCAGGGAGGGGATGGTGCAAAGGGAGGGAAGGGGAAGAGAGGGCTGGGTCCCACAGTCAGCTGTGTGGGCTTGAATCCTGTCCCTGCCACTTAACTGGTTGTGATTTCTTAATCAGCTCATACTTCCTCTGTCTAGACTTTAGAATGTAAAGGGGATAAACATGGCACCTGCCTCAGTGGGCTGGTGGGGTTCTGAATGTAATGTGCTGGTGCACTGTAAGTGTTCCGTAAATGTCCACTTGGATTGGTCTTGTTGGGAAGTAATGTTGGGAAGTTAATTTCTTTCACAGCGGGGTATCCACGTGATTGACTTACGATTGGCCCCTAATGGCTTTCATCTTCATCCCTATTAATTTCTGTGAGGCTTATGCTTTTTATGGATAAGAGCACATCTATTTTTCATTTCCACTCATTTTTATGAAATAAGAACAAAACAATATAAATGATGTCAGCAGTTGCACAGGCCGGCTCTGGAACAGAGATGCCGCTACTTGGGGAGCTGGGCTGCTGGAGGCGGCTGCCCACTGGGCGGATCCTGGTAGCATGCTTGCGTGTTCCACCCCAGGAGGGGAAGACGGAATTTAGCCTGTGAAGGTGCTTTGGCGAGTGGGAGTGAGACTACAACATAAGATTTGTGTGCAAGTTCAGGATCATGCGCCTGGGGTGCCCCTTGATTGCTTTCATGCAAGAAGTTCTTGCTTCAGGCTACACACTCAGCTCTGTGACTCCCCAGAGCCCTGTGTATCTGCCCAGCTGAGCCGACCAGCCTCCCCTGTGCAATCCCAACAGCACAACCGAGTCTTGAAGAGACACAGTCTGCAAATGAAAGAGGCACGTGGTTTGGTACCTGGCGTTCATCTCTAGCCAGATGTGCGTCCTCTAAATTGCGTTCAAGTCCATTGATTGTCCCACTCATTCTGTTAGTTTCCACTCATTACGTTAACAAATTACTACAAACTTAGGGGCTTAAAACAATACACGTTTTCTTACCTTACAGTGCTGGAAGTGAGAAGTCTAAAATGGGTGTCATTGGGCTAAAATCAAGCTGAGGACTGGCCTGTGTTCTTTCCTGGAGGCTATAGGGGGGCCATCTTCTTGCTTCTTGTAGCCCTGGAGCCCTTCTCCGTTCCTTGGCTCACAGTTCTCCCCCACCTTCAAAGCCAGCAACGGCTGGTCAGGTCTTTCTGGGCATCCTGCCGACACAGACTCTTCTACCTCTTCTTTCACACTTAAGGAACCTTATTATTATATGGGGCTCACTCGGAGAGTCCAGGGTCATCTTCCCATGTCAGGGTCCATGGATTAGCAGTTTCAGTTCCATCTGCAGCCTCAATTCCCCTTGTGGACAGATTTGGGGGCCATTTTTCTGCTGACCACACTCATGTCCGGGAGGTCATCTCATTGCTCTCCAGATCAGTAGCACCTCTTTCTTAGGGAATGTTCAGAACACAGCGGTCAGCAGCAGTGTTGGGCAGGCAGGGCAAATGTTGGCAAGGCCCCCTTTGGTTCAGCTGGCTAATGAAGGATGGTCGTCCCCGAGTGAGGTGAGAGCTACTGAGGGTACCAGTCAACGACTGACTATTTCTGGTTCCACTGG